GTATAAGCCATTAAGGCCATTAAGCTAAACATATCCACAAAATAACCGAACTTATCATAATTGCGCATACGCTTATTATTATCGCGTTGTTGTACAAATACCCGCGATAACGATAAGCGCCAAATGTATGGATTTGAAATTAAAACTTAATTGCTATTATTATTTTATTTTAAGAACAAGGTTTCAACAGTTTAGTCAGAGAACGGCTGAAAATAATATAAGAAGAAATTATATGAAACTAATTTTATTCATAAATCAATAGATAATATATGTAATGTTGACCAGCATTATCATTTTTAAATTTAGATAATTTATTGATTTATTTATTCATTATGTAGTTATCAGTAATCATTCATTTATTTTTATTAATAATGCATGTAAGTTAATAATAATATTATAGTTATATGATTTAAAATACAGAATATGACATTGGACTGACTATAAAAAAAATTATGTTTTCTGTTTTCAAAATTCTTATTATTTCACTTGGTAAACCCAACGTCAAAAACAGGATAAGTTTAAATTCTTATATTAAACAAACAAACTGAGATATAAGTGGAAAAAAATAATTGCTTCCAATCCCCTCATTACTCGTGCATACATTGTATCTGTGTTTTAAATCAACTTAGTGATGTTACTCTGTTAGCTTAAATAATTGAGCAAATAATGAGCAAATAGTTAATTAACTTATTATCAAATTTAATGGTGATAATACTATCTGTGTTTAAGCATTATTTTTATTTATATGTATTGTAATAATTCTTATAGATTTTGGCAACTTGTGCTGGTTATTAGAAGAAATTAAAAAAATATATTAAATTCACTGTTCATAGAGAAATTTATCTAGCTAAATGTTTTATAGCAATGTAAAAGGCACAAACATATTAAATATTTTTCTCAAATCTACAAATATATTACTATACATTTACTTTTTTTTTTCAAATCTTACTTTAATAATAATTTAAGAATTGATACAACATAGTATGTTATTTCAATTGTTAAATGCTAAACTGGAATGTTACAGTTTTCTCTGTTAAAAAATCTATACATTATATTTTTTGGTATATATTATATTTGTCGACATTATTGATACAAATACAGAAACATTGGTACTAAAATTAATGTTAGACTAAGACTAGAAGATTCTTAATATAATATTTAATCATCTATTAAAACTAAGCTACAATCTACAATTTTCAAATTTTAATATTTAACACTTTAACAATTTATTTACAAAAGTAGTCTATTTATTGTCATAAACGTCAAACATAAATAATTATTGAAATAAGAAATTTTGGTATAGCTATTGAATGGTGAATACTCAACATTGTTCAAATTATTATCACAAGGTTACATTAAAGATGCAAAAAACTTGTACAGTATATTTTTCAAGTGTTTTTTATTTAATCCTTTTAATTTAAAAATCAATCTTTTGTTATAAAATTGTAAGAATTTGGCTTTATTTAATTTATTTATTTGTCAACTATTAAACAATATTTACCATTATCAAATTTGTGGTAAATTTGCATCTCTAAAAAATATACTTATTATTATGTAGTAGTTTTTAATCAATGAAACAAGTTATTTAATATTAGAATATTATTAACAAATATTTAACAAATTGATAGTTGAAATAATAATAAAACAATATATAACTATCAGCATAATTATATAAATATTTATTAGGTAAATTAAATTAAAAATGTTTCTAGTCTATAGAATTAAGCATGAAAAATAATTTGTTTGTTTTGGTTTCATTATTATTTTACTTGGTAACATTTAATAAAGTATCAGTAATTGCTTCAGCTACATATTGAATATTATTTGTATTCAGTCCACAGATGTTAATACGTCCTGACCGTAACATATAAATATGATATTTGTTCCGTAAGTATTCTACATGACTTTCTATAATATTTAAAATGAGTTTAATTAAAAAAATATTTTAACAGAGATTTAATTAAAAATTTACCTGATAATCCTGTATAGGAAAACATCCCAATCTGATCAGTTATATGATTCCATGTTCCAATTGTTCCAAGCTTTTCTAAATTTTCTCGTAATGCTTTTCTCATAGCTTTAATCCTGTCTGTCATAAGCTTTAAAGTATTCATCCTAAATATAAAACATACATGAATAATACTCATATACAATCATAAATATTTACAGCAAAATAATTAAAAAAATATATTATTTAAAATTCACCATTCGTTTTTAAATTCATCATTATTTAATATTGTGCTGACAGTACGTGCACCATGGTTTGGTGGATTTGAGTACATTCCTCTTACAATCATTGTCACCTGCGATTTTACAGCTTTGATATTTTCCACAGAATTCAGTACAAAAGTAAGATTCCCAGCACGTTCATCTTCAAAATGCATTATTAATTAAAATACAAGCTAGTTTCAAAAGTTGAAAATAATTTATTATTATTATAAATTTACTATAAAGTCCATAGTTTTTAGCAAATGATTGTGAACATAAAAATTCAAACCCTTGATTAAAGAAGTATCGCACAGACCAGGCATCTTTTTCCAAATCTCCTGATGCAAATCCTTGGTAAGCATTATCAAAGAATGGTATTAAATTATGTTCCTAAAAAAGACAAATATTAGAACTTTATTTTTTTAATTTATAATACAGTAGAGCTTTGATAGTCTGGTCGAATCCAGACTAAACATCATCCGGATTACCAAAGCATTTACAGATTACCTATTCAAATGACTAAGATTTTCATTTTTATTTCCACAACCTTTAAATTTATTGAACTTTAAATTATAAAAATAATAAATAACTTTAACATAATGAATTATAAAATAAATTTTTCATGATAATAGAACTTATATAGTCTGTAATTTCTTTCTGAAGAGTTCCGAACAAACTACATATGTATCTACGAATACTTATGTCGTTCAGATTACTACGTTTACCACATCATTGGGGGTTCGGACTATCGAGGTGGCTCTACATTAAATTAGATTTTGTATGTTAAATAATTAATTATAGAAAAAATATTCCATAGATAAAAATATATAAAAACATAATATTATAATTCTTCATATAGCTTCAAAATTTAAATTATATATTTTTAGGAGCTTTATGTTTTTTCTTTAAATATCTTGATTTTTCACTAGGTTTTAGTTCCATGATTATTGTTTCTAACTACCTAAAAGAATATTAATACTGACTTTTATAATTTCTGCAATTTTCTTCCATTGATCTTCAGTCGGATCTAAGCCAGTTGGATTATGAGCACATCCATGTAATATAATAACTGAATTCTCTGGTGCATTTGATAAATCTTCACAAAATCCATCAAAATCGAGCGATTTTGTTTCTTCATTCCAATAGCGATAAGTTTTGGCATTTTGAAATCCACTGGTCATGAAAATCAAATGGTGATTTTCTAAACAAAATTTTGAATCAATGACATTGGCTTAATACATTAGAGAAGCTTTTATTTACAGAGTAATTCTTTAAACTTGCTTAACTCCAATTTTTTTTTTTTTTTTTTGATAACAAATTTATACTTAAAGATTACATTTTCAAATGTTTTGTGGCAAAATAAACTTTTGTTTTTTAAACAATCCTCCCCTTCTTTCTTCAATATTTTTAATATCATATTTTGAAACAAAATATTATTATGAGTATTTTGATACATAAAAAATCAAATTTAACAAGTAGTTTTTGAGTTATAATTTATAAGTATTTAAAGTTTAAATGAGCAGAATGAGTGTTATGGAGATATGTAGCAAAATGTTAATCTACTACTTTGCTTGCTTAAGTTCAAAATTTATAATGCATTAACTAATTTCATATTTATAGTTTTTATGGATTGAAACACTCCAAAAAATATTTTTATTCAAAAAAGTAAAAAACTGAAACAATTATAACTATAATTATAAATGTATTAAAAAATGTTGTTTTATTTAAAATAATGAGTGTTATTTGATAAAAGAATTACCCAGTATATATCACATCTAATATAAGCTTAGTTAATAATATAATAATATTTTAATAATGCAAACAGCACAAATAATATTATACTATAATAATAATAATAATAATAAAAAAATGTTTATCTAATAGCTGATAGCGAATGATTTGAAAAAGATTATTGAATATCTTGTAAATTTAAAGTGCTATCTACACATTATCATAAACCAAAAATTGTAAGTAAATAGATAGGTAAATACCATTTGCATGCTACATTTAAACAATTTATATTTTATAATAACTTTAAAGTTTTTTTTTGATCAATGTTCTAACCTGAGAAACATAATTTAAATTTTAGATAGTCCAAAAGTATGAAAATGTTAAATTATTTAATGGAATAGTCTAAACTTGATTTTATTATATTGAATATGGAGTAATCAATAAGCATTTATATATATTTTATACATTTGCATATTTTTGTATATGGTCTTAATAATAACTATTTTATTATTCTATTCAATTCAGATTCAATTTTATAATATTATAACTAAGCGTTGTTAATAGAGAATTTCTGTAGTAACTAATATTCATTAAAAACAATGATATTCCCACTAAAAAATGTACATTTCATAAACCTAAGCCAACTCTTTTTAAACTTTTTTATAAAAAATAATAAATCATAATTTTTAATATTATTTTGAATTATAAAAAGTATAAATTTACATCTTTTAATATAGTAAACAAAATGAGTATGACTAAAAATTTAATGATTAAAATGTTAAATGAATACATTTTATATTTTTATGTGAAACTTGATTTTTATATTTCATATTATATTCAACAATACTTAAAATACCAGTATATGCATATAATTACCCCAAGTTGGTATTGAATAATAGAATGTGGTACATTTCAAATGTTTAACTAAGAATTCTGCACCCACTCTAAGTGCTCCAGAACCACTGATTGATTGAACTCCAAAGATCTAAAATAATATAAATTATAAATTAATATAAATATTTTTCATTTTTAAAATTGATACCATCATTAACATGAATACATTTATAATGGTATCTATGCACTATAATTATGTTCAAGATGGAGAAGTTAGGTTATTTAGAGAATTTAAGTTTGATAAAATATTTGTTAAAATGTGTTACTATAATCAAAATAAAATATACTCATATTGTATAATAAATGTTTGAAGGTTATTTTTAAATTAGAAAATAGCCATTCATTTACAAATGTATTAAAATTAACAGGCTTAAAGCAAGCAAATATTTATTTTTTATTTTTAAATTTATCAAATTAAAATAAATTGGACCTAACCTTGGAGATTTTAGCTAAAAACTGCACTTGGAATTGTATGTCATACACTATCTATTAATTATTGATTAATTGATCGATTTTCATTGTACTAGTTATTAATGTTTTGTATTATTTATATATATTAAGTAGGAATCCCTTTTTGAGACTAAATTTTTATTCCCTTATTTTTCAATACAACTTTAAGTTTTTAGGACTGTCTAAACTTTTGAATTATATAATTAATTAATTATAATTTTTTGTTCTGATCTGTGATATTTTAAGTTTAACGTTTATCAACGAACAATCCAAAAACGTTCAAGATCATAATAAACATGTTTTTTCCCATCACTAATTATAATACATATGCACAAATACACATTAGTTGTTATTAACTTAATGTGTAAATCCATTCTAAATATTAGTCAGAAATAACATATAAGTAACAAATTCTCACACCTATAATTTTTTAACAATTACTAAAATTACTTTTCTATATTCACACACAAGTGAACAATAAAATTATCAAAAATTTTTTTGTTAAGTGACAGTGTATTTTAATGATTTTACTTAGAAAGTACAATAGAGTATACTAGTCAATGATGGTATAAGTCAATTAATCTATATTATAAGTTACCATTGATTTATTTAATGAAACATTAAATGTTCATCATAATATTATTATTTAAGCATATTTAAAATAATTTATAAAGAATAAAAATTTCTTCTTAGCATTTAAAGAAGATAGATAATGATATTTTCAATTCAAGTTACATATTCATTTAATAAAAATATAGCTTATTATATGGTTCAAAAACTTAAAAAAAAAACAAACATTTTATAACGTTTGAATATTTTAACAATGAATTATGTACCACACTAACATGTAAATTACATATTAAAATTTAATATAAATATATTATATACTCAATTAAAGTCTAGAAATACTTAGAATATAAATAAAAATATACTTTTAAAGAAGCAAGATATTATCAAGCTACTCTACTCATTTGTGGTATTTTATTTTTATTAACAAAGATTGTTATTTATAAATATTATGAAAATTTGACAATTACAACATTATTAAGTTTTTTTTAGCGGCTATTAAAAATTAGTGATATTAGTTATGGTGAAAAGTAAATATTAACTGGTGTTGTAATTGTATATAATTAACAAATTTAAAATTTATATTTACAATAATTATTCTTATTTGTTGTAAACATATTAAAAAGTTAAATGCAACAGAGTTTTATGAAAAAATTATTATAGTTGAAACCTAATTATATTCATTTCATTTAGTATACTGAGTTAGGAATATTTTTAGCCTGAAGGTATAGCATTTCATAATACATTTTTCTTTCTAATTAAAATCTTAGTAATCATTTCTTGTGACTTAATGCGTCATATTTTAATGGTAACTGATAGTACTCCAACAGTTCAACATTCCTATAACATCTATAATATCTAATAGTACTTTTGAATTCCCACTAATAAAATTAACTTATAAATGTATTACAAACTATTGCCATAGTAAATAGACAATTTCATATTTGTAGTAATAGAAATATTATTTTTATGTATAATACTATTAATACTATGCGTGTATATTTCACATACAGTTACTTATGGTCTATGGACTGTAAATTTGGCGACTAACTATTGATTATCTTATAAATTACTGAGATGACCACAATAAGACTGGCATTGACTATTAGAAGATATACATATAATAGTGAACAGTTACTGTTGATATAAGTATATAAGTATGGAAATTTCAATTAATAATATAAATTAATAATTACATCATACCTACTTTTAGATTCTGAACAGAGCGGTGAATGTATTGATTTTACAATGTGTCAGTCATCACATTTTGGAGCAGTAAAAATACTTTGATTTTCAACCTTGAAAGTAATTTCTGTAGCAAATTGGATCAAAGTGATACTTTAAAATATCAAGAACAAAACAATTACCAGTACATTTCTCAATAATTATGAAAATTAGATAAAATTAATGTAGGAAAAACAGGAATTTTTTAGTAAAAGTAGTTTTTGATAAAATTGGTTTAGTTTTCTGTGATTATATAAAAATGGATATCTATAAATACATGCAATTTTCAAAATATTTTGAATTTTTTAGTTTTTTTCTTTAAAAATATGAATAAAAAAAATAAAATATGTTTTAAGTCAAAATTCTTGAAAAAACTCCACTCATATTTTTCATATATAATTATATATCATTGAATTCAAATTTATCTCACTTGTAACAGTCACCCACAGAACATTAAATGTAAAGTATTTGCCTAATTTTTATTTTAACCAACATTATCATGTATTACTAATAATAAAATAAATTACTATTTAATGATAATAAAAATTATTTAATAATATAGACTAACAGACCATCTTCATTTTTCATATGCAATAATTAATTATTGAATTCAAATTTAACACATATTTCAGTGACTTACTTAATGATAGATACCTACTATACAATAAATTGGTAACCTATTTTTCCCTTTTTTTAATTTCATAGCTGCACATATATTTTTTTTTTTAATTAATAATTATAAATATTTTTCACTGTCACTTTTACCATTTAAATATTATAATATAAATCAAAATGGTTCTAATCTGAGAAAAAAATGTCTTAAAACTTGAGGAGTAAAATGTGTCTGATATTCAAACTATAAGTTATAATTTATAAATTAAAATAAGTAATTATAGTTATTGAAAAGTTGTATAAAATAAAATAGTTCTTTTTTTAATTGTATTAAAATAATCTTTACAGCTTCAAAATTGGGAATATTGATAATAAATAATTAAGTGGGTATAATTAAAGATTAAATATACTAAGTATATTTAATCTATAGTATAACTGTATAAGACTATTTTTTAAATTTCAATGTTCTATAACTTTGTACCTTTTGTACATAAAATACAGACTGTAATACCTAGCTATAAATTAAATCTAGATGGAAGTTACTTTTTTTTCTTACGTTTAATTAATTTCTAGTAGAGATAAATGAATATGAGATGTTTTTGATATTATTAATAACAGACAAATCACTCTAAAAAACTGACTTAACTCTATAAGCTCTAATCATACATTTTTTATATCTTTTATAATTTATATAATAGTTGTTACCCAATTATACATCTATGTAGAATAGCTATTAGATAATTTAAATAACAATTTGATACAATACAGAAATTATATCCAATCATGATCACTATTCTATTATCTGTAACTTATAGCAACTCTATAAATATACAAAAAAAACATACTTGATTTTCTTGAGGCAAAAGAAAATGTTTGAGTGAGCCATCACATTATAGAAATTGAAAAACAAACCTACAAACCTCTTAATCTCAAATAATCTATTGATATAACTTTTATTTAAAATAATTCAATCATTTTTGAGTCAATAGTGGAAAAAGAAATATTAATTTATCAAAATATTTTATACCATATTAATTAATTTGAGTAACCTAAGCAAAATTAATTTAATTTATGCACTAGTTTTCATGTGGAAACATTAATAGGTATTTTTAACTTTTGTTGTATTAAATCATTTAAAAATTATGAATAAATAAGCATTGTGACTTTAACTTAAGATCATCTAATAATTATCTATCATATTGATTTTTTCTTAAACAAAATAGTATAAATATAAATTATTACAGATCCTTCTTCTTGTCGTTCAGCGATATCACCTAGTAGGAGTTGCGATGCAGCTTTGGTAAACGATTCTAAGCCCAATATGGGTAAATACTCATGATTAGATGTACTTTCAAGTACCACGCTTTCAGCCTTTTTCACAACAGGCATATAATATGGTTTGCCTTCATTTGTCCTGTATGCTGTAAAATTGAAAAAATTGTCAATATAAATTGGTAGCAGATAATAATCAAAATTTACATACCCCCAATGGACAAATTTACTTTTGATGGATTGTCGTCTTCATTAAACAATTTCACCAGATGGAACACTTCGATGGGAGGTGCTTGTTCGACGATGCTGAAAATACTCATAGTGGGATTGATGGTATAATTCAATTTTACGATTTACGAAAAAACAATAGTAATAATTGTAATGAAACAAATTAACGAAAGTAACTAAAAAGTAACAATTAGTAAAATATAATGCTGGCAGTTAGTAGATGAGTGTAGAAATGTATGACAATTAACAACGGAATTACACTTTAACACGCTCAACTCTACAATTACAATGATAAAATTTTTAATTAATATTTAACATAATATGATAATAAACTTAGATGATAAACAAATAACTTAAAATACCGTTCGCCGATAGTCTGTAGTGTCAATTTATAAGCTCGACACTCGACAATCGACACTGTTTAAATAATAAATAATATTATTATCAACACAGTGCCGATTATCGTGATTTGTGAGTGAACGATGTAAAATTTTATCAGAATGAGTGACCTCTGAGAGTAACAGGGAGATAACAGCTGTAATTTGTAATTTGCGCGTAAAAAGGCCAGGGGACAAGGACATTTGTAGTATTTGTACATAACTATTATTTACTATATAAAACATCTAGTACGAGTAGTATCCATTAAAAAAAAAAAAATAAATAAATAAATAGACTAACTCAATTGCGTAGTATAGTTATAGATTCATGGAACCTATTGAAGAATATCTATGGTAGGTAGTAGCGAACATTTTCAGAGGATATTAATCAAAATTCAAAATACAATTTGACGGCGAGTTGATGGCTTCCTCAGAAAATGAGTTACATTTTCAGCAAATGTGAAATTTATCTCAAGCTCACCCACTTATCATAGGTATGAGACATGAGTAATTTATTTGAGCATAATATTTTAACATTTTATATTAAAGTATGAATAAATTGTGCTGTAAATCAAATACCCTTTCTTGCAATAACTACTTACCTATTGCCGCTAGAGTTCTAACTATTGTAAAGGCCAAAGAGTACTTAATAAACAACTACTGTCTATTTTATAAATATCTTATTGTTTTACTGTAATGACGTAATGTAATGGAGTAGGTAATACACTATACATACCTACTAGGTTTATGTACATAAGGAATTGTCTGAACTAGACCGTCAGAAATCACGGTCGCTGGAATGTTATTATTTATTATTAATATAGTTGCTACCATTAATTATTGAATGATAGTTCTATAATCAATGCTACCGCGTATCTCTAATTTATTTACTTCAATGAAACGATTAGGTATTTAAGTCTATTCAACTCCATAATTAAAATGATATCTATTTATTTTTATTGTATCTACTCGTAAAGCATACACTACACATCGTGATCGCAATTATTGACAATAAGACTACACGAGTAATAAGTTATAATGCAACTTAATTACAAGATAATAAACCTAAAATTATAATTTATAAGTATACAAGTACCATAGAGATAAGATGCCAATGCCCCTTATAGCACGTCATCCAACACATCATTGCTCAACGGTCTAAGAATCTCTACTACACGACTACACGTACATTTTGCTTATGTTTCCATTCCAAAACGGAACATTATTCCAACAGCCTAATCGCTCAGTTTCAATCAAATTAACTTCCGGGTAACTTCAGACAGACGTCTGAAGCGTGAATGGCCCAGAGTTCTTCTTAATGCATAACAAAAATAATATATTATATATTATATTGTCGTTTCTATTTTAACTATATATTCATGTTCAGGCGTTTTCAATGTGAAAAGCTTTCACGTTTTTCCGCTATTATATTTCTTTTGTAGCTTACTCAACATTTACTCGTTGCACCCAATAAGTAGGTAATAACTAATAAGTAATAAATTATAAGCATCGTAAACAATAAACGATTAAAAAAATAATGTACATGCATAATTGAGACTTGATTAACGTTCTACTCACAATATAGAATATTCAATATGACAATCCAACAATATTAAATGGCAAAATTGATGCATACGTTAAAGTATAGGTAAGCAATACAAATAAATATAATATTATTTTGTTATCGCGACTAAAGTTACGCGTTATTAAGTAGTCGAGTGAGTGTGACAAGTACCTGCGTCGTCAATAGGGAAGGTTTTAGGAGGCCTGGCCTTCTAAGAAAAATCAGTGGCCCTAAACTAGCCCCCTTGATTTTATTTTTTAATATTTTAAACATTATGGCTTTTAATTGTCCTAAATCCTGAATATATATTATATTACTCCATATAATTAACGATCGTATAACAAAAATTTAATTCTAAGATTTTATTTTACAAATATTCGTCACTCGAAAATGTGAAATAAGAGTAAGACAATAACACTATAGAAAAGATCTATTCTATGATAACACATCTAATAGATTGAAAACTAGAAATTCCAATTACGGTTATCGAACGTACACGGATGAACACAACTACAGATAACATTATAATAGTGAATTTATATATTAAGATAAACATGCCTAACAAAATAACAGTATAATAATATTTTCTATTGAATTTGAGTATTGATTCATTCAAAACACGCAGCGTTGTAAATCGTAGTAGTTAGCAAAGCAGGATATAATATTAAGAGAATTTTAATAAGTTATTTTAATAGTCTTATTTACCTACATTTTATAATTATTAATTATTGTAATAATTATTTCCTTATTAGTTAATAACCAATGTTAATAATACGGCCAAATGTTAACTCCTAAACGAATAACTTTTTTACCTGAACAATTATTAAATGTAAGCTCCTATATCAATAATCATTTTACATGTTTACCTGAAAAAAATAGGATAATATAATTTGAATTCACGATTTTGGAGTTGAAAAGCTCAAAAAGTTAAAAATGATCATGATTTGAAAATAATAAATATATAAAATACAAACACTTGAATAGAGTGTGTTTAATCAGTTTATACGATGTAAGATGATTCTTGAAGGCTGGTTATATCCATATTATATACTATATTATAGGTTTATATCGGCATTTGCAGTACAAAATGTTAATAGATCAGTGATAGTAGTTAGTATAGTATTGACATACGAAAGAAAACAAATATAAAATAAAATACTAAAATCAAAAAAAAAAAATCTTGTTCTAATTACTTACATTTCAACTCCATGCTTCAATTTCGTGTTATTCATAAGTTGGAAACTATCAACAATTATACTTATCCAAACAAACTAAAAAACTTAGTAACTTATTACAGGCCAATCGGCAATCAGTCTATTACCAACTCAGAGAAAATTATTTGAAAAAGTTATACGCAATAGAGTAAGACTCAATTTATAAGCACAAAATATTATTTCCAACTCTCAACTTGGTTTTAAGACTAGACACTTTACAGTACATCAACTACATCAAATAGTAATCCTAAGGTACCTAATCTAACCTATAGGCTAACATATCTAATATCCTCAACGTTAAAAAAAAAATAAAACAAAACTGTTCTGGTGATTTTTAGATGTATCGTATGCTTTTGACTACATATGGTAAAAAAGATTAAACTCAAAAAGTTTCTTACCTGCCTCATACTACTTAATAATTAAACCTTATTTTAGAATTTGTACTTTTGTAGTTCGAAAGCTTAATTAATTATCGTCTTAATTTTGTACATAGGTATGAGTGTCACAAAGAAGCGACATATTTAACATTTTTACAGGCTACAGGCTACATGATAAATAAGAAAAATATGATTATGGCAACATATATGCTGATGATACAGCAATCACTTCTCCTGATAATGACCCAGTATCAATTTCTGACGAATTAAAAAATTAATAAAATAAAATTGAATTGGTCATCTAAATAACAAATCAAAATTAACTCTGAAAAAAACTAGTATCCTCTATTATATTTTCAAATATCACAAACCTATTCATATTTTTCAGATTTATATTATCTAAGTATTATTATTGACAAGAGACAAACCTATGGAGCTAACATTTTAAAACAAAAAGGAAAATAATAAATAGTCGACTACATCTACTCCAATCAATACTTAAGTCAAATATGTACTCCTATATTGTCTATACATACAAAAAATGTTATATATACTTACGTCAATTTTCGATTAAAATTATAACTTACTTATTTATGAGAGCGTTAGTATCTTTATACACTTTGCTGTTGATTTGATATAACCATCTCATTTAAAGCTCGAGTACAAGATTTATTTTTATTTTTATATTGAAAAATGAATTTAGAAAATAAATAAAAATATTAAGTGATTTATTAACCATAAGAGTTGGATACATGTACTATGTACACTGTTGACAGAATCGATCATTACGATGCTAGGTGAGTACGTTGTCAAGTATTTAGGATATCACTTCAGACGTGCCATTCGATTGGCGCCGGGGAGTTAAAGGCTATGCTTATTTTTAATTTATAAAATAATAGCGGTCCTATGTTTTGTCGTAGGTCATTTTATCATGGTTACTCAGGGAATGCTATATTCGTGTTTGTGTAGACATGTTGTAAGTGATCGATTGTAGTCTTATAGCTTTGTGCATCCATATTATTTATTATTTATTTCGTAGAAATTGATTATACTAATTTGAATGTTATGATTACATAATTAATATTATAAATTAAACAGTATGATACAATAAATTGTTTAACTAATGGTATGTGGAAATACTTATAATTTCACTAACTAATGATATTTACAAACTATACTTAAAGGTAAAGTGTACATCCAAAGTATTTTTAATTGAATACAATATAAATATTTTAAATTATTTAAATACTGGATTTCGGATTTGAAATATTTTCAATATACATACTTAAAACACATTGATATTAATAGGCTTATAAGCGGTAATTTATTTTCTTATACAATGAGCTGTGGTCTAGGGTTAACTAATAAGTAATAATTATCATACAGTTGTTTTACTTTAGATGATAATTCCTGTGATATTTTCGTAAATTTATCGTTTGTATAAACTTCATTTTGTTTTAACTTGTAATCAAAAACAAAACCAAACTCATTAAATTGTAATTCAATACTTTGAAACAAATTTTTAACTTTAAACTCAAATACTTTATTTTTATCTTCACATTTACGAGCACTTGTTAATAAATTGGTAAATAAGTCTTTAACTTTAATTATAAATGACCTTAAACTTTCTGGAAATTTTTCTTCATTAAAAGTGGTTGTTATATTTTCCTCCGAATTGTAATTGTCATGTGTTATAAAATCCCACAATTTTTTGAGTTCGTAAAAATATGCAGCTACATAATATTTGAAATAAATATCATAAAATGCATATAAAAAGTCAGGGCTTAATATGAATAATTTATCAGCATCATTAAATTTTTTAATATTAATCTTTTCTCCTTCCCAGTAAAATATTATTCGATCTTCATAGTACTGGAAAACTTGAGAGTTTTCGACAAAATTTGTATATAA